ATTTAAAGCTGACCTGTGATGTCACTTTCTGTCTCAGGCATGGAGGCCATCATGTCAGAGTTCTTCAATGACACAACAACTGCATTCTACATTATCCTCATCGTGTGGTTGGCAGATCAGTACGACGCCATCTGCTGCCACACAAACACCAGCAAACGCCACTGGCTCAGGTGAGGTCACTTTCTGTGTGTGACGTCATTGTTAAAGAATTAAGTTAAAAGGGTTCCTGGTCATTTGATCAATAAACAGATCAATCGGGCTTTGGCCATTTTTATTGTGAATGTATCTTGTCAGCCTGCAGACCTTCAAGACCGATCATGTGATCCGTTCTCCCTGCAGGTTCTTCTACCTTTACCATTTCGCCTTCTACGCCTACCACTACCGCTTCAATGGCCAGTACAGCAGCCTCGCCCTCGTCACTTCCTGGCTCTTCATCCAGGTAAGTGTCGTCATCCTCATGCCTGTGCTAAGCCCCTCCCCTCAGACAGTAAATCTAACATTTTTGTCCTCTCGCAGCACTCCATGATCTATTTCTTCCATCACTACGAGCTTCCGGCAATCCTGCAGCAGATCCGGATCCAGGAGATGCTCCTGCAGAACCAGCAGGCTGGTCAGAACCAGACGGCTCTGCAGGATAACCTCAACAACAACATTGGCACTGCCGCCGCTGGAACGGGACCCGCCAATGCCCCCCAACCAGGGCCGACCAGTGGAGCTGAGCCAGGGCCTCAGACAGATTCCCTTCCGTCCCCTGCGGAAGGTGGAGCCTCAGGAAGCGGGGAGGTGAGGGCGGAGCTGAACTGGGTCGCTCACACAGCTGCCATCCTCACTGAAGCCCTGACGTCGTCAGTGGATGCGGGAGCCAGCAGCGATCAGGGGCCAGCTGAGATCAATGTGGTGGCCGAGTTCTGGATGGGAGGGGGAGCAGTAGGAGGGAGGTCCTTAGGTGGGAGCGGAGCCTTTGGAGGTCAAGATCCAAACTCTATTTCTGTAGAATTTAAACCTGCACCAGCTCCTCCAATCACAGAGCAGCATGAGGCGGGGCCCTCAGAGGATGTGGGGCCCTCAAAGGCAGAGGGAGCCTTGGAGGAGGCAGGGCCCTCAGAAGAGTGCCCCTCCCACACAGACTGTCCCCCCTCACAGAGTGCAGACTGCCGGCAGCAGCCGTCCTGAGGCTACTGACATCGCCTCACCTGTGAGACAGCTGATCAGCTCATTGATCGAATGAACAGGTTTTATTTGATTTTTAAACTCATTGATTAGCTTGAGGGTGGCGTCTCCCTGCAGGTCACGTGAACAGAGGGCAGGGATGCGATAATTTATTCTGCTGGGTTTTTTTTGTTTTTGTTTTGTTTTGTTTGTTTGTTTGTTTGTTTGTTTGTTTGGGGTTTTTTTTGTTTTTTTGGGGGGGTGGAGTATGGATGTTTTTTCCTTAGACGGTGTCTGAGGTTGGAGGTCCATCACCATGGAAACCGAAAGCAACACCCTGAACAAATGAAGCTTGAAGCAGAAACTTTTTTTTCCCCCCCTCTAATCAATAAACCCGACTGTCTCTTTCTCAAACATCAGCCTTTTCTTTGATTCTTCAAACAAAGCTGATCGATCAATTGGCTCATCAGAGCTCTGCTGTTACCGGAGGATTTTCAAAATAAAATGCATGGCGTTAACAGACGTTTTATTTATCTTGAAAACATAGAGGAAAAAGCTTCACAATATAAGCCCTGACAGCAGGAAGCTGCTGCCACATGGTACACACCAGGCCTGAGTGGTTTCACTTCATTGATCAAATAATTAACTGATTATCAATAATATTCAATAAAGAAAAATCAGGTTTCTGCTGCTGGCTGAAAGGATGAAGCCAAGCAGTTCTGGTGTGCCTGGGGGCGGAGCCAGTGAGCTACAGACAAGAAATCTGATGCAACCTTTCAGTTATTGATCAGCTGATCAGTTATTGATTCTGATAGACTGAAGCACAAACTCAACTTAAGTTGCTTTTTTTTTTTCTTTCCTGTCTCGTCTGCTTTTGTCTTGAGGGAAATAATTGAACAGGAAGTTTGGACTGTCAGCAGCTGAGCGAGCTGATTGGTTGTGGAATATGACTGACTGTCACACTCACGCTCCGCCTCCTCCATCTGTTCATCTATCAAAATGGCGAATGATGCGGTGGGTCTGATGGCAGCGTGTTTGCACTGACCGCTCCCCTCAGACATCTGCCAAACACATTTTGGGGGGGATGGGACACATGAGATGCTCTGAACCAATCAGGAAGCCTCATCTAAAAGCAGCATTTTGGTCAAAGTCCCTTCAATGGGACAGTGGCAAGTTTTTGAAAGTGAACACCTGTTTGCGTTCTTTGGATAAATGATGGTCTACGAATCCGTAGGAGGGGAAAGGAACTGATCCCTCCCATCAGGTGATCTTCATCAATTATTGATTGGATATCAGAAACAATTGATCTCTGAGTGTCTGTTTTTGTTGCTGTGAAGTAGACGGAGCCTGAGCGTGACTCTGGCTGGGGGGTTGGGGTTCTTCTTCGTGCCTCTCTA